GTGACGAGCACAATTATGAGGCTTCCAGGCTTGGCCACACTGCTCTCAAGTGTGTCCTGCATACAAGCCCCCTCCCCAGGCTCTGCTATCAGCCACAGGGTCAGGGAAATGAGTGAAAGACACAAGCCTGCAGATGACAAATGTAGATTTGCACACTCAGTGAAAAAGGATGGCTGACACCCCATGCTGTTCTAAACTTTCGGAGGCAACAAAAACATCTTTAAATATCTTTATGGAAAAAGGTTTCCATTATTGCAATAGAAATTTCTGACCAAGCAACTCAGAAACAGAGAAGCCCAGAGAGGGTGAGGCAGTTGCCTGTCTCTGCACGGTGCAGGTGCATCCGCGGAGGTGCTGGGATTCAGACTGTCCTTCTGCAAGCCCACTGCTGATCCCAGCGAGGCCTTTAATTCCATCCAAAGGGGAAAATCACGGCAAGCCATCCGTAATTGCTACCCACTTTAGGCAAGATGGTGTTCAGAAAACTCCTTGAGCTGCAGGCTTAAAGTAAAGCAAAATAAAGCAACAAAGAAATGACTGGGATCAGCACCAGACAGAGACGCTTTTATTCGTGTCCATCCTCTCCTCAGTGCGACCTGGCCAGCTGGCTGGCAGCAGCACAACTTGTTCCCCATCCATCAAGGAAATACAGCAGCCCATTCCAGAAATGATGCAGAGATGGCTGTTTTGCAGTGACCCAGCCACTTTAAAGCATGGAAAACGCATTATATCTCAAAAAGCAATAGTGACTCACGTGGGGACTCCAATATCAAACCAGAATAGAGTGAGAAATAGGACAGACATGTTTGGGAGGCTTCACCTGAGCGACATCAACACTCCTATCAAAACCGGGGCTTACACAGGACGCATTTAACCCCCTCCTTTAGGAAAAGCCCCTCAGTTCCATTCAGACAATAATGAACTAACAGATGAGTCTAATAAGCAGAACATATTATTTTCCATGCCTGGAAGCTGGCAGAAAGCATTAAACTCAGTATCTCTCAAAATACCCAATAACAGAATATCAGAGGGTTAGGATATTACTAGTGAAGCCTATTTTTGCTATTTCCTGTGTCCATTTTTGGACTCAGTCTCAGCTGAATGTTTTCTAGGTTGCCTACATGATTTCTTTCCTTTCTTTCTTTTCTGGCTGTTCTTAGCCGCACTGTATTACACTGATCCATCTTCTTCGCTCCTCCTCCTAGTAATTCCTGCACCCTCCCTTCCTCTCCATCTTGTCTTTGCACAAATGTGTATCAAGTGCCCTGCTAGGTGCCCCTAAGAGGTAGCAAACCCTAAGTGCCATCGTGGACAGGAATCCTTTTCTACGTGACAGAGCCATGTGTTCTAAACTTGGCAGGGGTGAGGGTGTTGGGGAGGTTTCCCACTGGGAGTGAAGGGGTGGGCACTCCTCACCCTGCAAGAAGCTCATAGAAATGCTCTGCCTGGAAGCATGGGTGCATCAATGAGCCGAAGGACAAGCAGTAGGGCTGGAGAGTGGATGAGGCTACAGTGCAGGGGTGGGCTGGTCAGCATATATCTGGGGGCTGCACAGTGTGTCCAGACAGGAAGGGGAAGCCAGACAGCAAGGGGAGGCAGGGATGACAAGATCTGACTTGTCTGGGAGCTCTCTCCTCCTGCCTGCTCCTCTTCCCACATTGCCCCTTTCAGTGGCCACACGGCGGAGTGTGCCTTCCCCTTCACGATGCACGCCTCTTCTGGTCTTTCTGTTTCCTGGGGCTTTACTTTGACCCTTGCAGTTTCACTGCTTTCCTTCTTCAGCTGTGATCACTAGTGTCCCCAGAGCGCCCTGTGGTCTCCCTCCCACCCTTCTTGCCCTAGATACGGGAGCTGATTTCCCCTTTCTTGACTCCAAGCTGGGCTCCTGCCTATTCTGACCAACAGAAGGTGAAGAAGGGCTGTTGCAGGACTCCCACACCCAGTCCTTAAGAGTACCAGCAGCCTATCCTTCCTTCCTGTCAGAGCACTGCTGGCCACCAAGCTGGGGGACACCAAGCCTTGTGGAAAAGGCCCAGAAGGGGTGGGTGCACAGCTCCCAGCTGAATGGCTGAGCTTCCCACCAGGGCCGGCATCCCCACCGGCTCAGCCCAGTCCTGCGCCGCTGTGGAAGTGCACCCCTCAGCACGCCGGCCCAGTGGAGCCCCAGGCCACGGCTGTGCCCAATGCCACGTGAAACAGACAACCAGCCACATGGGCCTGGACAGCCCATGACATCATAAGGAATAATCTCAGTTGTTTGCTTCAAGTCAGTCGGTTCTGAGTAGTTTGTTCTGCAGCAATAGACAAGTGTCTATGAGTGACTTAAATATTCTCTGAAATCTATTCATTCCACATTGGGTTCATGTGGACCTGCGGGCCACATATTTAGCAGTTACTTCAAAAAGAAAGTCCTACATTCCATTTCTCAGGAAAACGAAAGCAGAAAATGAAGCAACCTCTACATCCTCCATGATGAAGCCTGGCGGACGTGGTCTACGTCCACCATGGGAAAGAGGAACAAGCAGGATCCTTCAGTAGAGCTCAAGAGATGTGCGAGTGATGGGGTTCCGCATCGGCAGCTGGGCCAGGTATGTGGAGGGGGGGATCGTTTCTGAGGGCCTGGATCCTGGTAACATTTGTCAGGCAGAGACTGTTAGGTCTTTGCTCCTTGAAATTCAATTACAACTTGGAAATTCCTCATTAGCCAGAGCATTTGGAATCATCAAACATTTTACATTTTGGAATTAAAGATCCTACACATAGGCCATATAAACTGCCTCCTGTAACCGTATTAATAAGATTCCACCAACATATTATACATATAATATGGTAGGGCTCTCTCTCTCTCTACATACATATACATATATATATATATATATATATATATATAAAAATAAAAATATTTGGAGATAGCACCTAACTCTGTCACCCAGGTTGGCATGAGTGATACAATCAAAGCTCACTGCTGGGCTCAAGGGATCCTTCTACCTCAGCCTCCTGAGTACCTGGCACCACAGGTGCAGGTCACCATGCCCGGCTAATTCTGTTGTTGTTGTTGTTAAAGATGGGGGTCTCACTACATTGCCCAGGTTGAATGTTATAAAATTTATTCTTGATTTCAAACTTAAAAAATCTGAATTGAGAAATGAAAAGTATTGACTATTTTTTTCTAAATTGTTACATTATCATCTTGTTCTAAGAGCAGGAACCCTCATCCTTCTGCCTGTAAACACATAACTGCCTTTATGGAATGTGTGCTCTTTTCCGAGTGCCAGACGAAGTGTGCTGCACACCTCCACAGAGTGATCCTCCAACCTCTGTGAAGCTGGCACTTCCCCCATTTTTCAAAGGAGAAATTGGAGACTCAAAGGTTACACGGACTGTAAATATTACAGCTAAAATTAACACTTAGACGTCTTCAACCCTGACCGTTTGCCCTCAAAAAGTCAGACACAATGCCCTCATTATGGACTGAGTTGCATCCCCCTCAAACTCTCATGTTGAAATCCTAACACCTGGTGCCTCAGAGTGCGACTCTATTTGAAGACAGAACCTTTAAAAAGGTAATCAAAGTAAAAGGGGGTCATGAGCGTCGGGCCCTACTCTAATTTGACTGCAGTGCTTACAGGAAGAGGAGACGAGGGCACAGACAGGGATGAGGGAAGGTCACGTGAAGCCAGTGAGCTGGCAGCCATCCACCAGCCAAGGAGAGAGGCTCAGAAGAAGCCAGCCCTGACAACACCTTCACTCAGACTTCTGGCCTCCACAATTGTGACAGGGTAACTTCTATTGCTTAAGCCTCCGAGTCTGTAGCACTTCGTTACAGCAGCCTCGGCAAACTAATACAGCCCCCCGAGAAATAGAAGACCCAAAGTCCAGGCATGGAAAGGTGTGTGTTTGATCCATCAACAGGGGACCACTTACCCCTATTTTAGACATTTTTCAAAGCTCAGTTGTCTGAACTAATTTAAGAAGCAGAAAAGTGGCAGCAAATGAGAAGAAGATACTCTTTAACAGGCCCAACGATTCAAGTGAAATGTGGTCCCCAACAGCAAAGACAGGGGCAGAATGAGAAGTCAGTACAAGAAATGGCATCGTCCAGCCTTCTGGAAGTAGCCATGTAGGACAACACATTGCTTGTCCAGCAGGATCACTGAGTGACCATCAAGGGCAATTTGGTCACACCGTTCCCTGCATCAGGAAATCCTGAGCTTCCTTATTCATTCAGTTCGGGCCAAAGGAAACAACTTGCTTTTCATGATGTTATTATATTTATGAGATCTGAGACCTTATTAGTAAGAAATGTTCTGGGATCCCTTATTTGACTATGCAGTTTAACAAGAAATTTTACTGCTTCTAGAAACTTACCCTGCCTAAATAATTGCCTTTTAGGCATCTGGTCTGCAAGTCAGACTACCTTGGTTTACCAACGTGTCCCTTATTTCCTGACGTCAGGAGAAAGACTATTAGAACACAGGTATATACCCTGCAGGGGACATTTCCGCATGCAGCTAGAGATGACAGTCCTCCAGCTCACCTGCAGCCATCTCTGCCCCAGAACTCTCCAATGCACGATGGGGAACACAGATGAGGATGTGGGTCCAAACTGTGGGCTCCAGCAGTGCGTCCCAAAAGCCAGCACTTTCTGCTGTTGGTCAAAACTGCTGCCATTCAGAGAACAAAGGTACTGCCTTACGCAAGAATACTCCATGTGCCAGGATGCACAGAAACAACTCTAGGCCCCGAGAACACACAACTTCATGGGCATCTTAGGCAGCAGGCTAGCCAGGGTGTGCACGTGTGCATGCCAAACCAGGGAACGCCGGCTGAGGGGGACAGAGCTGCTTCTCAAAGGCCTGGCCACTTGGAAAGTCGTGTAGGCAGCAGTGGCCCCAGATCACAGATGACATATCCAGCATTTCTGTGAAATATTCAAATATACTTGATAGCTACATGCATACAAGCATAAAAGCATTTTTTTCCTTGCTCAATATACTCACCTGTTATAGAGAAGAATGTCTGGTTTCCAAATCTGGCCATCTGGGAAACGAACAGTCTTCACCCCTGGATATTCTGACACATTCCACTGTAAATAGTGATCTGTCCAAGACTGACACACACAATGACATTAGCAGCACTTCACTTCCTTGGCTACTAATATTTCTTATAAGCAATTGTTAGGTAAGTGCAAAGCCAAAGAGAATTCCAGACATTTATTATAACTGAATTGCTATTTATAAAACATAATGAAAATGGGAATTCAATAATCCCTTCCAAAATGACTGTGAAGAGCATAAAACTCACATTTAAGGTTCTGCTGTCACCATGAACACATTCAGATGGTATCATTAAAGTTAATTCCAACCCTCTGCATGTCCCCGAGCCTTCTCCTGCAGTGGATGGGTTACTTCTAGCCAAAAGAATAACTGTTTTGCCTTCAAAGTTTTCACTGTGAGAATACTTTGAAAAAAGAAATTCACTTATTTCCACTGGAATAAGAACCGGACTGGAAAAATGTGGAATATTTATTTCCAAAAAGCAATACTGTGCAGTTGCATGGGAACCTCTCAGAATTTCTAAAGGAATGTTTTCAGATTTGAATTTTTATTTTGTCACAGGGATAGTGCTTCTGACACCCGACAATGCAAATCCTGAGCCCTGATGGTGAAACACAGAGTCAGGACGAAAGGAGGCAGATGAAGACTCAGGAAGCACTCACACAAGCTCGCGGCCAGGCCTTAATTGAGGTTATCTAGTGACCTTTGTCAGAGGAATACCCATTTGTCAGAGGGGGTCCTCCCTCCCAGGATCAGGTGCTAAACAGCCTTTCCTGGAGCCCACAAGCTCTGCAGAGGATGCTCGGGTGGGATCCCACCTGCAGCTGCCACATAATTAGCACCACCCCACAGGAAGCTCAGTGCTGACAAGTGTGAACTCAGAAGCTCCTATAATTGCACCATTATCCTGTATTCTGTCCGCCTGGTACCACCCACGCTCTGGAGCTCAGGCTTTCCAAGATCTGAAAAGGTATGTGGTGCACCACCCCGACCTGGGACCAGGGTGACTCCTCACAATCAAACACATGGTAATTTCTGCAGCAAAACATGCCTATTTGCACTGAGACAAATAAATGCCTTAATTGCACATACATTTCAATTTGATTTTAGACCAAAACAGTGTGATGCAAAGTTACGAAAACAACATTAAAGGAGGGGAACATTTTTTCCAAGCTGCTGAGATTTGGAAATTGCAGATGAGGGGCTGTGGAGCTAGAGCTATTGATACTGACAACAAGGGAGTCAAAGGGCATATCCCAGACCAACTATCCTCTGAGGAGGGCGGGCAGCATCCAGAAAGATGGTCCCAGCTCTGGATCTAATCCTACATCAGAGGAGAGGAACTATCCAGATGAGTGACATCATTTTGCAGCCAGGGACCTCCAGGAAAGAGGAAGTGTTCACGGGTGATGTGCAGAAGTATCATTGGGGGCATTCAGGATCAACAGCTGCCCGCTGGGCTCTCTAATGAGATGGAAGTGGTTTGGGAGGGGACAGGAGGGGCGCACCCAGGAAGGGTGGGTCTTGTCCTAACTGTCTTCCAGGAATGCCTGGGCACCAACCAAGCCACGCTTCCTGCAGCTCGCTCTGACTTGACACCTCTGCCCTGTGCTTCCCTTCATTTCTCTCCCTTGCCCTGGGCATGAGGCCCTTCCACAGCCAACACCTGTGCTTTCTGTGCCACAGTTTTGCATCTCATCCTGGGATGCTTCTCTGGGTTGGTCACTAATTATCACAAAGCCAGTCAAGTTCACCGTTATTACCATACAGGTCAGGGCCAGAAGGTTCCATGAACAGGCCTGGAAAGTGGGCACGGTGGACCAAGGCACTTCTCTCCTTCTCCCCTGCCTGCTGAATGATGGCCAGAGAGAGGGGGAGGGGAGACAGGAAATGGGAATGGGAATGGGGATGGGAGTGCCTGGTTGGTCAAACCCAGACCTCTTCCAAGGCACAGCCAGAGTTGCACGCTGCCTCCCCACACTCCACACACCCCACTGCGTAAACCATGGGCTCATCCCCTCCCTGGCCAGATCACAGCCTTTATGTTAGTCCAGTGTCCTGTGTATGTCCAGACTCACCGTAGTTCAGAGGGGGTCAGAGTGAGGACTGCTCCCATTTACAAGAGGAGGCCAGGGTTCAGGAAACTAGGATGTTTTAGTCAGTCACTGGGTCAGGGCTTACCTGTGTTATTTGACTTTAAGCAAACTGATCTCTGGGCTCTACCAGAGCTGGTTCTTCTGGCTCAGTCTCCCTGATGCTGCTGCCTATCTGCTGTTTTCCCTTGCCCCAAACCAGGCTGACCATTGTGTCAGAGGCATGTAAACCAGGGAAACTCCATCTCAAATAGCAGCTGGGAAAACAGGCTGAAACCTCCTACGGGGCTGCATGCCCAGTTGGCTAGGCATTCTAAGTCAAGGGACGAAATAGGAGGTCGGCACAAGATACGAGTCATAAAGACCCTGCTGATAAAACAGGTTGCAGTAAAGAAGCCAGCTGAATCCCACCAAAACCAAGACAGCCACGAGAGTGACCTCCGGTCATCCTCATGGCTACACTCCCACCAGCTCCATGACAGTTTAGAAATACCAAGGCAACATCAGGAAGTTACCCTATATGGTCTAAAAAAGGGAGGCATGAATAATCCAACCCTTGTTCAGCACATCATCACGAAATAACCATAAAAATGGGCAACCAGCAGCCTTCGGGGCTGCTCTCTCTATGGAGTAGCCATTCTTTCATTCCTCTACTTTCTTAATAAACTTGCTTTCACTTTACAGACTTGCCCTGAATTCTTTCTCACACGAGATCCAAGAACCTTCTCTTGGGGTCTGGATCAGGACCCTTTTCGGGTAACAGTAATGGCAGAAAAGGTGGGGGGGAGCTGCAGAAAGCATCCGAATCAGACAGACCTGGGTTTGTACCAAGGCTCTGGCAGAGACTAGTGGTGCGAGGTTGTTCAGATAAATCATTGTCTCTGAACTGCAGTTTCCTCGTATGTACCCTGCCTCACAGGATGAGATAAGATAATGTGTGCAGCAGCAGATTAAAGTCATGTGGCCCTGGTAGGCAAGTGATGAATGACGGTGTAAGAAAAGAGAGAGATTTCCCCACTTTACAAAATCCTGCTGGACTTGGGAGCTGTAATAACAATCATAACGTAGCTGCGGCCAAAGGTGGGGAAGAGTGAGTGCCAACGAGGACAGGGAACCTCAGGCTGTGTGCCCTGGAGCCCAGGTCCACACTCCTGAGCCCGGGGGGCCCACCAGTGACCCCCACAGGCTCCGATGAAGGTTTCCTAAGAATGGATATGGAATAAGGCCCTATAAACAACAAACTTCTAGAAAAAGGTTGTTCTCTGAAAGCACTTGGTTCCTAGGTCCCTCGGGAACAGGGGGCAACAGGCAAAATCTTTGTAGACAGCACCTGGCATGTTTTCCACAGAGTGGGGATCTGAAAAGAAGCATCAGTGAACCTAGACTCCCAGACCATCACATTTAGAGGAGTGTGTGCTCTTCCTTCTCTCCCTCTTTCTGTGAGATTCCTTCTCATTAAATCTTCAAAAGAAGACTGTGTGGAGTTGTGAGGGGACACAGAAGGGAGGAAGGGGCCATTGATCGAAAAGGCACCGCGGGAATCCCAATTATTCCATGGCCCTGGCACCTGGGCCCCATGTGCACTGCTTCGAGCCCACAGGAAACTCTAAACGTGTGTGGATGCTAGCGGCATGGAAGCATTGAGGGAGGGTGGAGGAGGGGAAAGGGATGAGAGAGGGGAACGGAGGGAGGAAAAAGGAAAGTTACCTTTCATTAAAAAAAATACATTATGGTATAAGAAGAAGATAGATTTGGTTTTCCCGGCACAGAGCTTCTAAAGCCCTGGGAATTTCCTGAGTGAGAGGAGAGTCTTTTGTGATTCATACAGAGCCCCTTCTGACCATGCCTGAGGCCTGAGTTTACACTGATGAGGTGACTTAGAGTTGGGCACCTAGATAGCTTTCATGGGGGCTGGTCACCTAGTGACTGGAGGAAGGAGCTTTCCATCCACTGCACTCACAGCTCTGGGGAGGGGTGAGAAAGGGGCTGGAGACAGGGTTATAAACACTCTTGGTCAGCACATCCACTTGCGGGGAGGGTGGCGCTGGGGAGAAGTTACTGCGGCTCCGTACACCCTTCCAGCCCCACGCCCCGCCCTCTGCGTCCTTCCACTTGGTGGCTCCTGAGCGCATCCTTCAGAATAAACCAATAAACGTTAAGTCATGGGTTTTCTTCTTCCCGAGTTTCATGTTGCTGAATTCCTGTTCTGAAACTCTGAATTCACGTAAGCTTCTCTCCAGGGTATTTTATAGAAGTAGATATTAAATATTTATTTAATGAATATATTTTTCTTTATAAATATACTAGTTTGTGTATTATATACAATTTTATTAAATAAGCCAAGTATTTTCCTGAGCTGTGAGCCATCTTAGAAAGTTACTGAACCTGGGGGAGAAGGGTATGGGAACCCTCGAATTTTCAGTCACCTGGTAGACGTTGTGGGTAGCCTGGGTACCCCATTTGCAGCTGGTATCTGAAGTGAGACTGAGCCCTTTAACCTGTGGGATCTGATGCGAACTCCAGGTAGATAGTGTGAGAAATAAATCGAATTGGTAGACCCCCAGCTGCTGTTGGAAAATTGGTTGTTGGTGCCAGAAAAGACATCGCACGTTTGATGTCAGAAAACACTTATCTTTTCTAAATTCGTCCCGTCTATTATTTTGACAGAGGAGAAAAGCAGCCTTCTTTCCAGCCCCCTGATCCTGACACTTTTTTTTCTTGGTGAGACGTAATGATTGAAACATCGCTCTTCACCCTGAGATGCTGTCGCGGCCCTAAGCAAGCCGCTAGCTGGCTTGTCTGTGAACAGGAAGCGTGGCATTTCCATGTGTCAGAGATCAAGTGATAATGAATGCAGAAATTAAAAAGGTAAACATTTTAGAAAAAATAATGGCTTAAAATCTTATCTATGGTGTGAATGCTATTAGTACCATAATTAGAATTAGGAGGTTAAAGTCAGA